GAAATGCTGGAGGCAAAGGGAGTGCTGGAGCCGTATCAGGGCATGCCTGAGACGGGGGTCACGGAGCTGTCCCCCGAGGCGCACGCAGCGAAGCAAGCGCGAGCCCAGGAGCAGTACACAGCTGGTATGATCAACCACGAGGAGGCCTTGCTTGAGAGCGTGGACGTGCTGTGCCGGAACGCGCGCTTTGAGGGTCTGGCCGCGGACAACAAAGTGCGGGTGGTGATGAATGGGCGCATGGAGCCGCAGGAGGTGGAGGTGCTGGAAGGAGCGCCCCTCGGGGATGCCAGGCTTCTGGCATTAGCAGTGGAAGCGGCGATGGACGCGGCCTACAAGCAGAGCGCCGAATTTTACGAGGAAACCATAACGACGGAGTATCTGGCCCAGGCTGAAACGCCGACGGACGTGGAGGGGATTGTTGAGGCGCTGGCACGCAAGGAGTTTGTGATTGATGAGCACGTGGTCGATCCAACCATGCTTTGAGTGGGTTGTCATGGAACAGAAAGAGGATCAATGTGGAAAAAAATTGACAATTTTTGATGAAAGAGGAGACGGAGGTGAGAGATGAACTCAGGCGAAAATGCTACAGAGTAAAACCAAAATTGCAAGGTGTTTCCGTGAAAACTATAGTAGATATGGTTTCCTGTGTCGCGCAGTCGCAACTTCCCAAATTTCTTTTAATTTTAATGCTACAGGTTTTCAAATTGCTCGACGCCACACCGTATGCTTGACCTAGCCCTCGCCTGCGCCCGCGGGTCGACCCCGGGCCTGTTTCCGAGTTTCTATCCACCAGGCGCTGGCGCACAGGCATACATGGACGATCGCGCCTCCGCCCACATAGGCAACGTCTTGAGAGCCCTCTCACGACCCATCCGCCTGGCCGTGGCATCCCTCTCTCAGCGCTGCCTCCAGCTTGGCCCGTCCGTCGCCCTCCGTCATGAACTCCTCCATCCCCCGCGCCGAGACGGTCACGCGCGAGCCCATCATCCGTGCGACCAACGCGTCCGAGACCACGTCCCGCCGCTGCAGCGTCACCTCGGCCAGGTCCTCCAGAAAGGCGCGCACCTTGGCCGCCGAGTCCCACCGGTTCCTCCCGTCCAGGTTGTAGAAGCCAAAGAGCTCCTCAGGCCCCGGCCCCGACCACCCTCCGTCCCTTCCTCCCAAGGCCCTGCCCAGCAGCGTGGCCCCGTCGTTCTTGGAAAGGGCCGTCTGGTGGTGCTCCCGGTAGTCCGCCCCCTGCATCTCCAGGAGCCGGGAGACGGTGCGACCGAAGGCGAAGACCTCGTCCTGGGCGCTCTCGCTGTAGGCGACCGCGTCGAAAAGCTCGGAGACGGGCGCGTCCGTCAGGAGTACCAGCTGGGTGCGGGCCTCGTAGAGGCAGTCGACGAGCGTGATGAAGCGGCGGAGCTTGTTCACATCTACGAGCGTCATAACGGGGACGTCGGCCAAGAAGAGCGTGGGGAGGGACTGCGACAAGGCGATGTAGTCCGCGGCGCCCAGGGGCTGCTCGCACAGCTCCTGAAATGTGAAGAGGGCCGTGCGCGTGCTCAGCCCCACACGAGGAACGTGGACCCTCCGGCCCTGTTGAGGGAGCGGGATCCCCACGGGGGTCATGGCTTGCCCCTTCGTGGCGCTCTTTAGCGCCTCCTTGAAGCCGAACCGCGCCCCGTCCTCCTCCATCTCCTCGCCTGCATTCGGTACTGCCAAGGCTGGCGCTGCCTCGCCATTCACCAACCCTGTCAGCCTCCGGCTGTGGACGAATAGCGTGTCGGTGGCGAGGCCGTAAGCCCGATGCACCAGCCGATAGTCGGTGGGGGAGTCGATATGATGCACTCGGTTCCTCTCCTTGAGGAGCTCGATGAAAGGTAGGAACAAGTCTCGCTGGAGTCCGTTTAGGTAGAGATCTTCGGGAGGTCGGTTCGATGTGCTGATCATTACAGAGCCTCTCTGCAAAAGCCCCGAAAAAAGGCGTTTCAACACCATGGCGTCCGCTATATCAGTGACCTGAAACTCGTCGAAGCAGTGGAGCCACGCTTGTTGATAAAGATCCTCGGCGACTGTCGCCAAAGGATCCCCCCTGTGACCCTCTTTACGGAGTCTGTGGAGGCGTTCGTGGACCTCGAGCATGAACTGATTGAAGTGCACTCGGCGTTTCTTCCAGCTCGAGGGGGCTTGGGCGTAGAACAAATCCATCAAGAAAGTTTTACCCGTCCCCACACCTCCATACAGATACAAGCCTTTCGGCGGCGTCACTACCTCTTCTTTTTTAATCGCAAAATCAACGAATTTATACGTCACGCGCCGATATGCTTCAGGCCGGGAAGAAAAGTCCAGGACTTGATCGAAGACTTGCTGCAATTGGGCCACCACCTGCAATTGCTTTCCGTTCCATTCTATGCGTTGCTCTCCGACCATGTCGTTATAAGCCTGCAAAGGACCTTTCCCTTGCGAGGAGGACGACGTAGGAGCCAGATAAGACAGGCGGGCCTGCCTTTTCAGGGACGTGCCTTGATCAATGAGTCGGGGAGATAATCGTGGACACAGGAAAGCCTTGCGACTCGACTTGACGTTCATCCGATGCAGCAGCGCCATGTTTTCCGCAAGGCCCTTGCAGCTACCGTAATCTATCGTGGGAAAATGTCGATCGGTGGTAAACCTCGTCGTCGAGGGCGGCAGGACCCAAAGCCTTGAAGTTCGCCGGCAACCTGCTAGCATCGCCCAGAGCGACGAGCTTCCGTACACGACACGTCCGAAACCCGGACTCTGCCCCAGAAAATACGTCCATACCTGCTTCCAGCAGCAGTTTTTCCAAATATCTAACGACGTAGTCACACAGCCACGCAGGTAGCGATGATACGGGCACATATTACCCGTGAAAGCGGAGGGCAGGCGACCTACCTGGCCAAGCACCGCCTGGCCAAGCTTCCTTCATCTCACCTCCGCGACAGCAGCAGTGAGGGGGGGCTGGATCGTTGCCTGTATGACAATGCGGCCTACATTCAGTACCTGGAGACTCAGTTGAAGCGAGTGACAGCCGCCAGTGAGCAGGCAGAGAACTTTCGTGAGAGCACACAAGCTCTGAACGACCTCGTTGAGAAAATGTCGGACCGCGTCACGGCCTTGGATCGCGAATTTGAGGAGCGTTACAGCAGCCGTCAAGATGCCCTTTGCAACCAATTGGCATCTTTGGAGGTAAAATTAGAGCAGCAAGATCAGAGTTACAGGCGTGAACTGCAGCGACAGGAGGAGCGGCAAAGGCATGATAGTAAGGCGGAGATTCCCGCCGCGATCCAGGACCGGATAAAAACAATGGAAGAAACCGTGAGAGAATTGCAAATGCGACTTGACGCTGTGGAATGCCAGCGTGGAACTGAAATAAATGGACTCGAAGCCCGGCTGGAGGCGGTCGAGAAGGCCAACGCGGAGCTCTCAGCGCGGTGCCGTGGTCTGGAGGCTGCACAGGTCGAGGGCTTGGCCGGCGTGCGGAGCGAGCTAAGCGGGGACATGGAGAGGCTCCGGCACGACGTGTCCATGGGCGATCATCGGATCCTGAGCTCCTGCAGCAAGCAGGGTGAGTTGGCACAGGAAGAGATGGGCCGCCTGCGGGAAGAACTCGTGCGCCTCCAGCGAGAGGTCGTGCGGCGAGAGGGCCACCTGCCCCCCCGGGAAGGATCCAGCTCGGCGTCACGCGACTACACGGCGGCGAGAGATAGTAGCGGGCTGAAGATGGGCGACGCGGGGGAGGGCTCGGCAGCAATGGAGCAGGGGAAGAAGTTGAGGGTGTTGACGGCCGCCTTTCATCACGCCGAGGAGGCGCACCGACGGAGGTACCAGGAGCAGCGCGCCATGGTGGATAAAATGCAGAAAATTTTGACTGCGGTGGGGGTTAAGGCGCTTGAGACAGCAAGCAGTCAGGCAGAGGCCGTACTCAGCGTGGTAGGGCAGCTGGAGGGGAGGGTCGCCTGCATGGAGGCTGAGCAGGAGCAGCAGAGAGCCTGGCGGCGGCCGAGGAGGGGCGGCGCCGCACGGGAAAAGGCGGACCGCCCGACGATAGCCCCGGGCACGGCCAAGGCTGCCTGTTTCCATGAGTTCAGCGAAGAACCGGCCGATATGTGGGAGGCAGAAGGCGTGAGAAGTGCCAGGCGGGGGGCGCAGGGGCTGGAAGAGGATGAAAGGGTCATGGAAGAGGAGCTCGTCCAGGCCACAGCTGCAGTCTTGGCTGTAGGCTCCATCATGGGCACGCAGGGTTGTGAAGGACATGAAAAGCGGGGGGGAAGCGGGCTTGTATTGCCGGAGTCGGAGGAATGCCAGAGGGGTCGCGTCGTCAGGGCGCGCTCGGCGAGGGGGGGCGGGCCCGCCGGTGGCCGTGTTCAGGATACCCAGGGCGATGGACCCGGCCTTTGCCGCCCGCACTCCCACGGCCAAAGTCGCCATGTACAACACTAAACTTTGGCCCTGATTAGAAAAAAGGGCACAGGGAGCGCGAGGGAGATCCGTGGCGCACCCTCATGATTCCCGATGATTTATGAGGGCAGACGGCAAAAGAATTCGATCAATAGATGCCAGCGCCCAGCATGTGCCACGCTCGCTTTCTCGGTGTAACCTACCCGCGCAGTAGCGTTGGCATTATCCTTTATACTGAGAGTAGGCATCAAATCGATCCGCTTCACCCTCGGTACGCAAAACTGAGTGTTAACCCAAAAGATGGGCAGTACATGATCTTCTTCGTCGGATAAGAGGAATGAGGAGGGCAGGCGTTTGGACTTTCTTGCAAAGAAGCGTAAGCGATCATAATTGTTTAGAGAAATTCATTTTTATTGACAGCAAGTCTGTTCTGTCGTGATGCTTTTCGCATGAGCACACCAAACATGCTGAAATATGCGCAAGCTGCACGACCAACTGGCAGAAGACTGGGCATGTATTGATCGACGTAACAAAGCAATCTGTGACTGCGACACGGTGTCAGAAGGCTAAAGCCCAACCAAGGCTGGATGGTGTATCATTACCGTTATTGCCATTCGTAATTTTTAGTTTCCCATGCGTCTCACCAAATTTCCCATTTCAACGACATTTCAGTCATGACTAAAAAGATGAAACGTTGCTACACCCACATTTCAGTAGCACCAACGTTTCGCTCTCCTCTTTTGTATGTCGCTGCCCTTTACGACCTCGTGAAATTAATACACGTTTTTACAGTTTCACCGCAGACCGCGGTATGCTCGGCGTACTTCTGCGTTGAGCATTTAGAAAGGCTTCTTTTCTTCATCTTTTCCCTCTAGGAACCTCATGCATCTAAGCTACCACGCAAAGACATGTTCCTCCGCATTCACTTTTCTTGCGACTAGCACACTTCGTTCCCCAAGGGCATATTGCTCGAGGACGTGACAAAGTGTACGGACGGTAACGCTTTCACGATCTGTCACCCTCAGCTCTATGTTTTCGACGCTTTCCCGTTCGTATTTGTAAGTCCCCAGTTAATGCAAACATGTAATACATTTTCCTGCTTCGAAAGCTTTACTCTATGAATTGCTTTACATGAAAAGTTGCAATGTTTTCAAGACATTTTCACGAGTATTGACATTACTATGCTTCTTTCACGCTCAGTATGGAGGCCGCGAGATCTCTTTCTGCACCGCCTGTAGCACATTTTGGACGCTATTTTTCTGCTCCGTTCTCGGCAACATAGAGTATTCGTCGCCGACGCCTCCCACTGGGGTAACGTGGCCGCTGCCGCTACTACTTGTCTTGATTTTCAAGACTGGCAGACTGCTGCTGGCCGCGCTGCTACCTTTTCCATGACTTGGAATCCTGCCAATGGGGAGTGGCTTGGCGGGAGCGCCATTGGGAGGGGGCGTCGGGACCCGACGACGATCCTGCGGGTAAGAAGCCGAACCGCGCTCTTTTGCGCCGCTCAAGTCTCTGTCAAGACTTCCCACACCAGGAGATTGCTGTCGCCCCTTATCTATTGGAGGTATAGAAGGAGACAAGGGGGAGTGACTTTCACTTTTCGCGCCGGGAAGGCCAGCTCGACGGTGATGGGAAGGGCTTCCGGACGCGGGAAATTCCTGTTCATGTTTTTGGCGATGGTGGATGGGACTGGCGAGCGTCGCCTTCTCGTTGACAGGAGAGGCATCATGGGCCAACATGATGGGTGTTGTGGGAGTGGGAGGGCCATCGGAGGGGTAGGAAGGCCCTGGAAGCTTAACACCGAGCTCACGTAGGGAACCTATGTGAATTGTAGGCATCAGCGCGTCCTCAGCTCCGTATCCGCCCACTCCTCCCTTCGTGTACAGCTCCTCCTCGCGCAGAACATTCTTAACCAGACATTTGCGTGCGTTAACCTCCGGATAGGCTAAAGCCTCGGCAGCGGAAGGACGATCCCTGGCAGCAGCAAGAAGCATTCGCGCAATGACAGACCCCAAATCCTTCGAGTAAACAGAGGGGACGGGGTTGAAATTGCCTCCCAGCACGGCCGTTTTAAGTTCGCTCATATTGTTGCCAAGAAAGGGAGGACGCAGAGCACACAGCTCATAAATAAGGCAGCCAAGAGACCAAATGTCAGTGGCATGGTTGTAAGGGCGGCGGGCCCAGATTTCGGGGCTCATATAGTAAGGCGTCCCGATCTGTGTCTTGGCGTTGCCGTCCTTCATGACTTTGGAAACGTTCATGTCCCCTATCTTGATAGAGCCGTCCTCCGCCAGGAAGCAGTTGGCGGGTTTTAGGTCACGGTGGAGGACGTTGCGCTCGTGGAGAGCTTTCAGGCCCTCCAAGATCTGGATCATGTAGACCCAGATGACGCGCTCATCGATGTACTCCCTGCGTTTCACATATCGCTTGATCTTCATCGCCAGGTCACCCCACCCACAATACTCCATGACAATGCACAAGTTATTCCCATCTGCATGTGAAAATTTGAAGAAAAGGGATCACAGATAAGCAGTTGACCCTAGAGGCGAAGCGTGACATCTAAGGAGGTGCTGAGAGCGAGCAGGAGGACAAGCAGGACTTCTTTGAAAAAGTCTTGCTAAGCATAGTATCTACAAAAGAATCTTGGTCAACCTTCAATCTACAATTCACCCTTCCACGCGCCTAAATCCCTCTCCGTTTACCCATGAAGGTCTCGTGAAGCCGCACAATACGAGGATGTCCGAAGGATGCAAGAAGGCGGATCTCATTCAATGCAGAAAGAAGTTCCTTGTCATCTAAAGAGCTCACGTCGACCTTTTTCAATGCATACGTTTTACCATCAACCAATCGTGTCACCTGCCGCGGAGGCAAAAAGAATTTTATCAGATAAAGAGGCGATGCGCGCAGGTGTCCGGCTGTACTTGCCTTGTGGACGCTGGCAAAAGCACCCTCCCCAAGGCTCTTCAAGATCTCAAATTGCTCAATTCCCATGCTTCGCACTAGCTTTCCTGCATTCCGAGTGTGAGATAAAGCTATAAGATGACCAAGAATGCTCTCACATTCACTATCAGGAGTCCTTCACGGAGGTAGAAAATATTATGTGAAAAGGACTGTTTGCCGACTAGAAAGGGTTTTATGTCCTAATAATAAGCTACTATTTCTATAGCTCGTGTATTTCGACTACATATCGGTGCGTCTATGCCTGCCAGTGTCCATCTGGTAGCTAAGAAAACTTGATCAGAGAGGGAATCCCTACGAAGAGAAATGCGTCGTCGACCGACACACACACACGGAGTTTGCAGAATAAAAGTGGGAATAATGAAATTCATTCCTTCTTTTTCATGGAGCGCAAAGCATTTTGTTTTTGTAAACTTTTGTCGCCCTTATCGGAAAGACCGGAGGGACAGGCAGAGGACCGGCGGGGATGATACCGCATGGGCCGATGACGCCACTTATTTAAATCGACGGTTGAAGGACGCCGGCGGCGCAAGGGCAGGGGCTGACTGGGCGGGGCCGTGTGAGTGGGAGTGCAGCTTTGCGGGCGTGACTGTGGTCTTTTTTGTTCCCTGTGCTCCAAGCGCATGCGATAAGAAGCACATTATGCTATTGTGGACATGTGACGCTTTTTGAGGCTTCGTCATTTGCGGCTGAAGCCTCCTCTTCTGCTGCTTGGGATGAGTCAGGCAAGATACTGGGCCGGTCAGGACCTGACCTCGCCTTTCCATTCCAAAAAGCATGCGAGCTCTCTACGTGTGTGAAGGATTGTGGATTTGAGCAGGCAGTGACACGCTCGATGAATAAGTGTGTCAAGCGTGGCTCTTTTGTCATGCACGCACGGGAGGCACCATTCGTTGTCCTGACGAAGTGCTGCTTCACAGGCTAATGCATGCAGAGATTGTGGGCCGCCCGTCGCCCGTGTTATTTTATAGTGCACGCCCCATTTTTTTGGACTTTTTGATCAGGATCATCAGAATATGTCATAATATAACAATTCACAACACATAAAAAGCCGGCATCTCAGACACCAGTCGTCATGAACGGGCACGCCAATGGCAACGGCAGCACCCACGGGGGACCTTCGTCCTCCTCGACCTCGACAGGGGCTGTGGGTACATTTCGCGTGAAAGCTGGCCTGGCGCAAATGCTCAAGGGCGGCGTCATTATGGGTATGTGACAGGGTGGGGCACGAGGTGGTGAAATGCGTGTCATTGAGATGGGGCAACTGGTTGGGTGATGTGGCCTCTACTGCAAGTGCGTGTCTCTGCGTAAGGCTGACTTGATTCGTTTTACGAGCCTGTCATTGCTCGGCGGGAATTCTATTTTGTGGATGGCTTCAAGCAGTGAAGGCTAGCAGAAGTTTGCAGGCGTTGCTTTACAAAATAGTCTTCCTCCTGAGCCCGGGCGAGGAACAAAGCACCCATCCCTCCCGTCCCCGTCACTGCTTCTCTTGCCTTCAGTCCTGACATTGTTGTACTCATTTTTGGAACTTAGACGTGGTGGATGTGGAGCAGGCAAAGATCGCAGAGGCTGCTGGTGCAGTGGCAGTGATGGCGCTTGAGCGCATCCCTGCCGATATCCGTCGTGACGGGGGCGTGGCGCGTATGAGCGACCCGGCCATGATCAAGGAGATCAAGGCGGCGGTGACCATCCCAGTGATGGCTAAGGTGAGCCAGAGATTGCGAGGAGAAGGCTGCAAGGAAGGTAGAAGTGACCGGCACATCTGGCTGTAGAAGTGAACGAGAAGTAATCAAGGCAAGAGGGCCGTGAGGAAAGATTGATGAACCATAAGCAGATAGGGACATCAGAGCGCAATCTTTTCGTGCACATGCTGATTTCATCTACTCTTACGACTGAGCCTGAGAAATGCATGACGTTTCAGGCCTCATGACAGTAAGGGCCATGACTAACCGCTCGGTCGCTCCGTGTCTTTCCTCCTAGGCCCGCATCGGACATTTTGTAGAGGCCCAAATTCTGGAGACGATCGAGGTAGATTACATCGATGAGTCCGAGGTTCTGACCATGGCGGACGAGGACAATCACATCAACAAGAACAAGTTCAAAGTGCCCTTCGTATGCGGGTGCCGGGATTTGGGGGAGGCCCTCCGGCGTGTGGCCGAGGGGGCGGCGATGCTCCGCACCAAGGGAGAAGCGGGAACGGGGAATGTGGTGGAGGCGGTGCGGCACGCGCGCACCGTGCAACGGGAGATCAGGCGCTTGAAGACAATGGATGAGGACGAACTGTTCGTGTACGCCAAGGACATCAGGGCACCGCTGGAGCTCGTGCAAGAGGTGGCACGCAGTGGGAAGCTTCCAGTCGTGAATTTCGCGGCCGGTGGGGTAGCCACGCCGGCGGATGCAGCGTTGATGATGCAGTTGGGTCTGGACGGTGTGTTTGTGGGATCAGGGATCTTTAAATCGACCGAGCCGGAGAAGCGCGCCCGGGCCATTGTTCAGGCGGTGACGCATTTCCGAAACCCGCAGGTGTTGGCAGAGGTTAGCACGAAATTGGGTGTACCCATGGTGGGCATATCGGACATCAAGGGGGACCCTGTGAACTTCCGGGACCGCGAGGGGGGTGCTGTGGGTGACGGCGTTCCCCCCAAGAAGCAGCTACACGGTGCGACGGAGACCCAGCTGTACGGATCGAGCTGGAATGTGGGGAATCAGCACCGTTAGAAAGGGAGGACGGGGAGAGTTATCAGCGGTATGAGGTCGCGACTATTGCGTTCGAGCGCCTTGTCTGTTGAAACGTCCGAAGGTGTTATGACGAGAGAATGAATTAGCGCAAGGTAGCGGGTGGCATAGCGGAGAGAGATCTTGCAGTTCCAGCATCATGTCAGAGCACCACGGACAAGGACGCGCACGGCTGTATCTTTCATGCAGCACCGCTTTCCCATATATGTCAAGGAACTGGATGGTTAGTTGAGCAAATGGTTAGTTGAGCAAAGTAGGGAACGTTAAAATTTTTAACAATGTCACCATACCCAAGGCTGAAGTATGTAGGTAGAAAGTCTGGAATGGCCCGTGCATTCTTGTGTCCATGTCTCTGCTTAAGTATGATGACAGACGCAAAGAAGATGACGAAGGGGGCCTGCCTGCCTGCGTACGAAGTGACCTTTACTTTCACTTATTTTTCAATTCTTTATTTACATCGTTTCACGATAAGTAAAATGATTATCATATCGTTTGCATCGGCGACTTCGGCATTGCAATAATGCGCTTTCCGTGTAAACCAGCGTTTTGATACTTGGCGACGCCAGAGGGCACGAATGAAACGAATGCGAAAAAAACATGAGATCGCCACGTCCGTAATGTCAATACACATCACTCCAACACGGACATAATATCGATAAAATGGACACGGAGTCACACGTGATCAGGAGGATCGTCCAAGCTCAATTCCGCCCATATCGACCCAACCCGTGTTCCACGGACACGCTGAACGGAAAGTGAAGGGTTGCAGTGTGCGGTTTCTTCCCAGCTTCGAAGCTCGAGAAGCAGGCGCGTCACGCCCGATCCACCCTAGCAAGCAAGCATCTGCGCATGGCGCTCCTTGAACTACCCACTGCTTCCCTCCACTCGAAATAGTAGACAAGTATGTCAGGGTCGCGACTGTGTCCTCGGGGTGCCAAGCCAGAGTCCTTCGAAAGAAGAGCACGAGGCGAATCCTGCACCCATTTCCAGCGATGCGTTTGAATCCCAGCTCTGGCGTTTATGTTGGGTGGTACACCTCATAAAACACCCGCACATCTCGGTTCGCTTGAATGAAATCCTTACGTAACTGCCTCAAAATTACAGTACTTGCACCTACGGACAAACATCGCTGCATTTTTCGCCACAGGGAAAGCAAAGCGCGCCATAACGTCCCCAAGAGGTCCTGCCCGCCGTGGAAGGCTCGATAGCTGGAGCGGGGCACCACAGCCTTGCTAGTATGCTTCAGAGAAGCCAGGGGATGGCTAACTACCAAATTCCTATTTCATTGGCATGTCTGATTCTTCTATGGAGAGCCTCTGCAGCGAAAGCAAGACATGCGGGTGGCAATGAGAAAGTCGAGAGCTATCGGAACGCCGGAGGAAATGGGGTCGAGGCGCCCCCTGCCCCCTCCACATCCCCGATGGGACTGCAACCCGGTGTGGACAGTGACGCAGCGTATAGAGTGCGGAAAGCACGCTACGATAAGGCGCATGATCTTCTAGAATTGTATTTGCAGCAGGAGAACATGCTGGAAGCGGACGCGATAAGGGAGGCCCTGGAGCTTCTGGAAGGCAATATGTCGGAGTGGGGAGCCCTGGAGGAAGCTTTGGGGCATGGATATCTACACGATGACGATTTCATGCTGATGATCCGAGCACATGTCATTCGAGGCCAAATGTTGGCTGTTGCGGCGCGGTATGAGAGGCAGGAAGGGGAGCTCGCAAAGCTCAGTAGCCGAGGTAGCGGGAGAGACCCTCCCATGGTTCGAGCGCTTGAAGAGTTCGAATACGCCTGTCCGATGCTTTGGAAGGTACAATTGGTGTCTGCGGCAGGTTCGTCGAGAGGAGAAAATTCTAATTTGACAGCCCTGGGTTCGGACCCCTTCTTCTTCTCCGCCATGCCCTCCTCCTGGGGGCCGCCGCCAGGATCAGGGCTTGCGGGCGGCAGCCTTGGCGCCCCGGAGGATGACTACCACTCCTGCTACGCTGTCCTGGCCGACCTCTATTCGGAGCTGCAGCTACATCAGCAGCAGCATGAGCGACAGAGGAAGGGCAAAGGCGCCGACTTGATGGCGCGGTACATGGTCGTGCGGCGGCAGGAGGAGGATCGGGAGAAGTCGGACGCAGGCGGGGAAGCCCAGCAACTGAATAAGCAGGGCCTAAAGCTTCGGAGGCGTACATGGGGAATGGTGGACCGTCTGGCCCTCTTGTCCACCTCCTGTCCTGCAGACGTCGTCGCCGCCTCGGGAAGCGATAGCGACAGCCCCTACCCCAAAACCCAAATCATCTGGAACGAGGCGCAGGTTATGCGGGCCCACATGCTGGATATTGTCTGGCAGCTTTCTGCAGTCACGGAGCCATGGAATGCTCAGGCTTGTGTGGAACGCGCGAAGATCTGGCTGGGCATGATTAGGCAGCGGTCCCAGGCGCGGATGGCCTACTACCTGCACCACAGGCAGGCGGCGGGGGGTGGAGCAGACAAAGGGCAGGGACCACGGCTGGGGGGGAAGGTGAGAGAGATGCAAGCAGCGGCGGCGGCGACGGTAGTGTCGGAGGGTCTGCAGGAGGAGGGAAATTGCTACCTGGGCGCGCTGACGGCCGTGGCGGAGAAGGGGTGGGAGGCCTTGGAGGTGGAGCGTGGGGAGGAGGGGAGATTGTGCGGGTTGCCGGGGGGAAGGAGGAAGGACGTGGTCTTGCCTGGCTTCCAATCCGGGGAGGAGATTTTGGAGGCTGTGAGGGAGGCCTACCAGCACGCGCTCTTGGCCCCCCGCCTCTCTCTGCGTGACTTCTTCGCCAAGAGAGGGGCCTTGAAGAGCAGGCCCTTGGGCTCTTCCTCAGCCGGTCCCGCTCCATTCCCCAGCTCCGCCTCATCTTCTTCTCCCTCATCGACGTTCTCCTCCTCCAGCCCTCCGATCTCACCACCCCACTACACCTCCCTTGTCGGCCAGCAGACGGCGGGGGAGAAAGCGTCGCCCTTCGTCCTGGCCTCCTTGCTCGCCTTGCTCTGTCTACTCGGAGGAGGCTTCTACCACTACAGCCGCAGGCACTCTCATTCTCGCTGCGGGCGCCACAAGAAGAAGGCAGCCGTACTAGCAGCGGCTGTCGTCAAGCGTGGCGCACAGCGGAAGGTCCAGGCTGGGCAAGCGACCGGCAACTGGTGCGCAGATGAGAGCCGGGGGGCCTGTCAGCAAGCGCGGTGGACCCTCTCGGAGCACGTAGCTTCCTCTCTCGAGACGGCGACTTCCCTGTCACGCCCGTTCGTCGGCTCGCTCACGCGGCGCGCGAGCAAAATGTACTCTATCTGGCGTGTATGGGCGAGGAGGAGGCACCAATGCACGGGAAGGTCGAAAGCACAACCCGAGTCGAATAAGGCCAAGGCGCAAATGCTGTCGCCGACTCCAAAAGAACATTCTACCAAGAAAATCAAAGGAGAATATAGCAAATCAGGGACTCGCGATGGCAGCGGTAGCCGCCGTCGAAGGTGTCCTGGCAAGAGAAGCGAACTTGAGCTTGTTCAGAAGCCGCCACATTACGGGCACGAGAAACAGCAACCAGCGGCGCAGGCATTCGTCTCTACACCACCCGTCTTTCCTTCGCCCATGTCTAGGCAAGGGATAGCAGGACAAGAGCTGCGAATGGTATCGGTGACGCCTGGGTTTGTGGAGGGGTCTGTTGTGGGCGACGCGTTCGAGTGGGTGGGGACAGGCGGGTCGCACTGTCCCAAGTCGAAGGCATCTACGCTCTCCAGACGAAACGCATCGTCTGAAAGGCTTACAGGTGAATCGGAAGCACCCAGGCCAGACATATACGATACCGAGAAAAAGCAGGGACAGCAGCCACATCTCCCCACAGCCTCATGCTACCAGGCGGGCAACAAAAGGAATGCTGGCGCGACGGCAAAGCTGCCATGTTTTCCACGTTCAAGAGCCGAAAAGGTGGACGGAAAAAAAGAGAAATGTGAGACAATTAAATCGACCGAGGCAAAAAGCAAGGGCCTGGAGGAGTCTGCGATGTCCCTGGACTCAGCCGACGCGCAGGAGGGCAAGGGGCCGGAGTCTGTAAGCGAGGGGCCAGGGGCGTCGAGAAAGGAAGAGGGCGGTGTGTCGACGGTGGCTGTGGGCAAGCAGCAGCCAGAGGAGTGTCGACATTGGACACAGGACCAATATCAGCTTGAGCAAGAAGCAGAGGAGGGAGTGAGTGAGAAGTCAACGACCGTCGAAGTCAGCCCGAGCGATACTACGGGCCCCAAGCGCTCGCGTCTCTCAACGTCAAATTCGACTTGTTCGAGCCAGTCTCCGGCCGCAGTGTCCCACCCCGTCATAGAGCAACCATTACATGCGGCTTGCAACGCTGACAAGGTGATAGAACACCGTGCCGAGCCGAGAAAACAGAAGGCGGAAACGGAAGAGAGGAACGAAGGCGTCGTCCAAGATGTCGACCAGAAGAGCACTTCAATTACACCGGCCACGGTCAAGTCCCGCAACGAGAAGAAAAATGCAAAAAAAGTAAACCCTCGCAGACCAGATATCGATAAGAAACCTGCCCCCGAGCCTGATCAGCTTCAGGGTGCGCTCGAAAGTGAGGGTAACTTGAGCTATTCGACCCACACTACCGCTTCCTCCATCTCCTCCTCCTCATCGTCGCAGTCTCTTAACAGTTTCACTCCGACAACTGCTCAAGCCCGCTCTATTCAATGTAACAACGTCAACTGCTGCATGCATGGCTCCCTTAGCCGCAGCACAAGCACCGACAGCAGCACAAGTACAAGTAGTGGTAACGACGCAAGCAATAGGGTCAGCAAGGTGGGAAGCAACGGTGATACTGCCGGCAACCTCAGCATGTCCAACGACAGTAAACGCTTGGATACGGAGAAGATTCAAAGTATTTGCGAAACTATTCCCAACGCCACGAAATACCGTCCTGACGTGCCTCAAAATAATAAGACAGGCTCCATAAGAGTAATCCACAATGGACCCAGCGGAGACAAGCCTTTTCATTTCAGTTCTAAGGCAAACGGAAATGGCGCGTACATGGACAGAACGCGTGGTCGTATATGCGTGCCCACGTTGTACCCCGTCCTGTTCCACCAACTGCAGCGTCGACCCCCCCCCTTGCCCGCGCTCCACGGGCATGGAATAGCGGTCTCGATTCCCGGCAAAGATTACTACCACGACGCGTGCACTCTACAGCCGATGCCCCCTCTGGGCCGCACCGACCCATATTCTCATCGGCACGGCCACGCGGATATGCGAAATTACCCTCCTGCCTACCATCAGCCTTCACCTTACCCTGTGGCGAATTACGAATCGTCTCCTCAAATTGAGCCTTCCGCTACCCGTCCCGCGCAAGCCGTCGATCGCAAAGAAGTAGAGGACAAGTTGCGCCGTCAGTTACATTACTATTTCTCGCCTGAAAACCTGAAGAGAGATTATTACCTTCGATCGAAAATGGACGGGCAAGGGTGGGTGATGCTCGCCGAGGTGGCACAGTTCAACCGAACTAAACACTTGCTGGGCCTGCTTGGATTTCAGGGTGAAAAGGAGGTTAACGGGGCTCCATTGGACTTTTCCCTCCTGCTTAGTATCGTGGCTGAGTCACCTAAAGTAGAGGTGCAGATCATGCCGACGGAGAAAGCAAGCGGAGACGGGAACGGGGGTAGACTAGTGTATAAGATTCGTCCACGGGAGAACCCGAAACAGTGGGTCCTATCCTCTTAAGAGCGACGAGAATTGTCGGGGAAAGATTAAATACCGGCATACCTGGGTGCTTGAGCATACTGAAAATCTTCATGGTCAGTTATCTATGCAAGAGTTTGTTCTTGGTTCCTGCTTATGATGGCCCGCCTTGATTTTGGAGATTGAGTGTAACCTTCGCGGCGCTCTTTATTTATAGTAATTTAGCGAGGGTGTAAAAGCTAGAAGAGTGACTTGGGTATATGATAATTGTGTGATGCTGCGGTGAAGGGAGCATCCCTAACTGGTCTAGAAATTGAATTGCCTCAAGCATTCAAGCTGTTTGAGAATCAGCATTTTTTAGCGAGAAAACATAGAAATGAAAATTGAGCAAGCAAAGTGCGTTGAATAGAGGGAGACGTATGTGTGAAAAGAATGTATTAAATCAAATGAAGGGAAAGCAATAGGCGTTACTAGTCTTCTACACTCCTCGTTTTCAGTACTACAGAATATGAGAGGAGTGGCGGTCTTTTTGGCCACACATAAATATCCAAGAAGGGCTTAGATGCGAGAAAAGGGATCCTAGAGCGGGATTTCAAGCATCGATGCTTCATTTGCTGCTCGCCGCGGAGCGAGAAAAGTAATTGACGTGGCTTAAATGAGCCCAGCAAACGACAGGCGAGGAAGCAATGACAAGTGCTCCGTTGAGCACGTAATATATTTGTCATTTTGTGCCCGTTCATAAAGCTAAGGTTATCTGCGCTTTGTCTAGTAGCCTTCACACACCTCGGCCCGGGAGCATTGCCACGAGGACCATCGGATCTTCCCTACTACTGCACTAGGAAGTCAACAAACACACCATTCTCTCCCATTGCTAAAATTACTCAGTACTTTGAGCGCCGCCAAGCTTGCAGTCATACTTTTTCTGGCAGCTCCTCTCTTTCATCGCCTTATATCCCTCGACTGGCCCCTAAAGACATTCAAAATTCAAAGTCCCTCCGCCGCAGAGGATACTTGTCCCTCCACGTCCAAGATACCCTCTTGCGCCTTCTCGCCATCCTTCTTATCTCCCCCATGTAAGACACTTGCGAGGCCGGACTTCGCTGACAGGCTTGTTACCTTCCATTGCAGCTTCCCTATGTCCATCATAGAGGACCACGACAGCTTGTTGCCAATTTTTTGGGCCCTCTCGCTCCGTTGACTCCGCGATAGCAAAGTCACCAGGCGCTTATAGAGGCCTAAAGCCTTCGCGGTGTCTTGCGCAAGCACACCCTCCTCGCCCACTTCGTACATCTCGGCAAGCTTCCTCAATGCCTGCACTTGGCCCATCTCCACTGCCTCCTCCAGGTACCCCATAGCCTGTCGCAGACCCGTGACAGGCCCCGGCACCGCGCTCGTTGATTTACCCTCCATCTCCATCCTCAGCATGAGGTTTCCCAGGGCGAAGTAATGGTCGGGGGATTGAAGCGCAGCACGGTCGTAAAAGCGCAGAGCCAGGTCGTCGGCGTCAGGCAAGGAGTAGCCCATCCGGTGTTCAAGCATGTAGGCCGCGTTCGCCTGAGCGATCTCGTAGCCTTCTTCCGCTGCCATGGCGAGAAACGTCACGGCATGCTCCATAAGCCCGGCTTTGTAAAGGTCGATGCCGTACCGCACGCCCGATATCCAGTATCCACTCTCACCCGCGCGCTTGTACATGGCCGCAGCCGACTCGCAGGATTGGGGGAAATAGAAGTCATCCACGCCCTCCTCGTAGAGCTGGCCCAGGCGGAACGACGCCAGAATTTGTCCTTGTGCTTCTGCCTGGTGCAATGCTTCCAAGGCCTCCTCGAAGGCTTCATCTCTCAACAAGAGCTCTCCCCAGTTGAGTAGTGCTTCGGGGTGACCCGCTTGAGCCGCGGTCCGATAGAGCTCCGCCGCTTTGGCCACATCCCTGTCCACGCCCTTCCCGTGCAAGTACAGGTATGCTATCGCATTCAGCGCCCCAGGATCGCCGAGAGCACCAGCCTTCTCGAACCAGTCGATCGCGGTGTCCAAATCCTCGGCCAGTGATGACTGAGAAGCCCTCTCCCCCCCGTCCCTGTGGGGCCCGCTTGTCGTCGCGTACATCATCCCCAGCTGGGTCATTGCTCCCGCGTGCCCATTCTCAGCAGCTGCCAGATAAAAGTCAAAAGCCTGGTCCTCGTCTTCCTCCATCCCGTAAGCCCCGGTTTCGTACATCTTCGCCACCTCAAACAAGGCCTCCGCGCTCTTTCCGGACGCCGCCTCTTTCAGGAGCTCCGTGCGAATCGCGGAGTCGCTCTTGCCGTTCGCCTTCCGGGACTCAAGCAGACTGATTAGATGCAGATCTTTGTCTAGCAAGAGGTCCGGATAGTAATTATGCTCCCTCATGGTGATCTCCGCCATTTCCTTGTAGGCCGCCAAGGCGGCCGAGCAGTTGACTGGAACGCCCGCCCCGAACAAGTGTCGAAAGCCCATGGCTAGATTAGCACCTATAGACCCGCCTTCAGCCGCAGGTGCCTCGAAAGTCACTCCTGCTGCATCCTCCGGTGTCTTATTGCCGAAGCCCGTGCTCAAGAAAAATGCCAGGGTATGCTTGGCCTCGCTGAACCCCAATTGTACAGACTCGCCCAGCCGTTGCACAGCCTTGGCCAGGTCCCGTTCCACCCCATTCCCACCTGTGGCATAGACCAATGCAGATTCATAAAGTGCGACCGCTTTCTCGGGCCCTGCCTTTGGCGCGTAGGCGACATCCTCGAAAATCTCCAAGGCCTCTGCGTCGTCCCGCACCCCGCTTCCCGGCCTTCCGTACCTCAATTCCTTCCCCTTTTCAAGCTGAACCACATAAATAGAATCAGCAGGCAGGGGGGGACGCTCAGCGGCCGGATCGAGGAATTTAGACTGCGCTTTGGCAATGTCATAAAAGTGGCTGAGGGAGCTTGGTCTGGAGGCCTGAGACTGTTGCTGCTCGCCACGACCATACTCCCCATTACCCATCCCGCCCATACCATGCCTGTAGTCAGATTTGGTAGGACTATTCATACTGCGTTGCTGAGCCTTTGATGGCACCATGGCTCCCAGAAGTCCTAGTGCGGCTAAGCACACAGCTCGAGTCCTGCCCCCTCTTGATTTAGCGACCCGACAGCGACGTGAGGCAGTACCACGCACACATCGCGCGGGCTCCATCACAGGCCACAAAAGTCAAGATATATCCCGCTTAGAGCCTGCGATAAACGTTGTAACAAAATAGAACACGTGTGGATTTTGTTTTCTTCGTCTTGAATCTTGGGTCGAGCAAGAAATTCGAGAGAGACGCTAGCAGGAAAGGGCCGATGAAGGATAGGGAAGCTACCCTGCTTCCATTTCTGCGAGGCAACTCTACGTACGCCGTCATGGAACCAAGGGCGCAAGATACAGATTTTCACCCAACAGTTCACAATCAGTTGAGCGCAGATCGGATAGGAAACCATTGGTGAGGGGCCTTAGGACAGTCCGGCTCGCCGGGGTCGGCAAAGAGAGAAAAAGCAAATGGCCCCGGGGGGAGGCTGGATGGCCCTGGCCGCGCCAAGTACAGACACAAAAACCACCGGAAGAGAAACACGAAGGAAGCACACTTACAGTGTGGTCGAAAACCAGGAACGAAAAAAAAAACGCCTGGGCAGCCGATTTAATGAATCTTGGGCGACAAACAATTTGTCCGACCAAATCTAATGTGACAAAAGTAGTTATTTTCGCCCAATTCGGATTCTCACTGACGACATGGCTATGTCCTTTCCCGTCCTGCATGTCTCGAAGATTCAAAATGTCTTGTACGACGACAGGTTCAGTTTTGTCTGGACGTGAAATATGTGCTACTGCTGCGCTCATATCGATTTCTCGGTGGGGGTAATGCGAAAAAATAAAATATACTTCATTTCTTAGGATAACACACGGATCAAGTCAACTTTCCTCGGTGCTTCGGTTATTTCACATAGATTATTGCTTGACATATTCATAGAGTTTATACACGACCTCCTGCGTGGCCAGTTCATTAAAGTGCAGGAAAAACATTTGATCGGCGCTGTCCGCCGCCTCCTCCTCCTGCGGGGAACCCGTGCTTCCTTCCACCATCCCCCCCCCTTCCAAGGGGTTGCCTAACAGCTTAGGTCCCGCCTCCTTTTCCGACACTTGAAACAAGCCCGCTCTGTCTGAGAGCCCTTTCACAAAGTCTTCCAGACCATCGCGTCCAGTGGCGGGGGCCACGTACAAAAAGCGGCCTCCTGGCCTCATCAGCCGGCAAAGCACCTGCGCCAAAAGCGGGGCAAGGCTCTTCTGATAGACCAGGTCGGACCCCAAAACCAGGTCTACAGCACCCACGGCGCTCGGAGGATATGATTGCTCGTCCCCCCAATCCATGGCAGAGACATGCACGCACGCTGCGGTCTCAGGAACCAAGAAATTCTCTCGATTCATGGCCAGGTTGGCCCGCGCGTTCATCAGAGTCTCCGAATTCAGGTCCGTCAGGTGCACAGCCCGGGGACGGCCATGCAATGCTGCTGCCAAACCTGGCACCGCGCAACCACATCCTAATTCCACGATAGTGCTCGCATCGAGTAGCTCCTTGCGCTCCTGGACTAGCCATTGCGCCAGCACTAGGGCGGCAGGCCACACCCCCAGTCCCGTGGTGTCGTCCGCAGCGGCCTTACCGAAGGGATCGTCTGCGTGCTCGATCGCAAGCTCACGGATCTGGAGCACTCTGTCAGGATCGTTCTCTCGGTCCAATACCAACCGGTGGATAACCGTGGCCTCCCCACCACCGCCTGAGGCCTCGTTTGCTTCTTTTGCCGATTGCAAGCCTGCTCTGAGCACCTCTCCCCCGTCGCTACCCTCTTGACACTGCCCTTGTCCTTCGCCACCCATCAGCGCATCTTCATCCGCCGATGGGTGCTCAAGTAGCAGCTTCAAAATCCCCTGACTCTTCCCAGCAAACCCCTCCGTCAAGACACTTTTCCCGAAGGCATTCCGCGCCAAGACATCTACATTCTCTAGTTTCTCCAGTAGAAGGCGCACTACAGCCTCATGCTGATTTTGTACAGCCCAATGTAAAGGACTGTTCCCGCTCTCATTCGCTGCGCATCCTTCTACCCCTTGGTCGATTAACCAAGCAACGCAATCAACGTGACCGTTGGCGCAGGCTGGCCGTGTTTGTAGGGTAAAGGAGATTGGGATTCGATGAATGGCTACGGAAATCGGATAGGAGCGGACACAAACCCACGAAGCGCACGGAGACATTTACTTGACTTTGCGTGTAAATAGTAAATTTTTGTTCTCGAGGAACAACACAAAATGAACAGCGCATTATAACACATGCCGACTTACCAAAGTGCAGCGCCGTGTTGCCTCCATTCCCTCCACGAAACCCCAAATGGTTTCCCCCATAGGTACTCGTAAGCTCTTGCAAGTCTTCCACGTCTCCGTATCGAGCAGCATCGAGTACGGCTTGGCCCACTTCCTCGTCGCTGGGAGCAGACGGGCTGGGCGTAGCAGCATTGGTCATAGTTATGCTCCCACCGTGAGCCCGAGACACGTGGCCAAGGCCCTGTCACCACTCCTGCATCAATTCGAGTGCATTCATTAAATGTGGGCGCAAAAACATCCCGAATCCAGCCACCAAGCCCTCACCTAGGGCGTCTTCAGCCCCCGGGAGCGGCCGGACAGGCGAAAAGATACTCGCTGCTCTCCCCTGAGGCTCCCCGCCACTCACGCACGTGTCTCGCTCAACCAGACGGCCTGCCTGGGGGCGTCCTGGAGCTGTCCCCCACGTACTTGCTTGTCGTGAACGTACTCTTGCTGTTATGTGCAGGACGAGGGACCGATTTGTGGCGCGACCGGCCGATGTAGTTTTGTCTGACAGGCAATACTGTGCTTAGCCAGCCACACGACCGCGAGGAGGGAGCCCTCAAGGAGCGCCCACAGGAGAGCCTCTCATGCGGACGCCAGCGTGTCTAGTCGACGGTCAACGTCTCTTGTGTTCACCGAATGCGGTCTCTAGACACTAGCTGTGCATGTAATTGATGTTCATGGGATTCTTCATTTGTTGTACCGAAGTGTTTGTACGGGAAGGGGTTGCTGTCTAAGCCGCTGTCTCGGAGCTTCTTCGTGGCCACCTACTAAACATCAACCCCCCCCATTCCCTAAATACCAGTGGATTTCGGCCGCGCCTACCGCGCGCTGGGTAGACAGACGGCAAACAACCACACTCAAGGAAGGAAGTCAGCGCAATTGACGTTAAATGAGTCTATCAGACGAAGCAGAGCTGGCCGACAACAATTGCAGATCGACAGCACAGCAACTCAGCCAGGCCCAACAGCAACCACATCCTCAGACCAGTGGCATCACTCCCGCGGACAGTTCCTCGGGTTTCAGCAGTAAAAGACAAAGACACAAAGGAATGAAGAGAATATTAATCTTGGGAGCCTGTTATCTCGTGACTTTGGCCTCCTGCGGCAGTGTGTCTTCCTTCGTGGTGCCCAATCATGGCCTTGCAGGGAGTAGCATTTCCAACGCAAGGCGCACGTCATTACCGAGCAGTATCTACCATCCTCCAAATTTCCGCACCGTCCTGGAACAACAGAGAATAGGTGAAGCTTCACCTTTCTTGCTTTCCCTCGCCTCTACGCAGAGCAACAACCCTGCGATCGGCGCCACAAACGATCCTGCTTCCAACACGGGACCCATGTCCGCCGCCGCCGCCGCAGCGGCAGCAGCAGTCACTGCCGCAGCTACGACTGCTCCAGGCCCTATTTCGGCAATGCCGACCGGAGGTATGTCCCCGCGGGGCCGACCTGGCAAGGACGGTGTGCCCCTCAACCCCCCCAATAAGGGGTCAGGCAAAGCCCCTCTGCGCGGCGAGGAGGAGGTAGATTTGGCCCGAAAGATGCAGGTACGCGTGGCGTACATTCGCGTCAAATACCTGGCGCGGGAAGCGCTGGGCCGTGACCCGACCCACCGGGAGTGGGCGGACGTGTTGGGTATCTCGGACAGGGCACTGGCCGAGGCCTTGACGGCGGCTGCGGATGCGAAGACCACCATGATCCGCGCCAACATGCGTCTGGTCATGTCCATCGTGCGCCGGTACCTCTCGCGCGGCGTGCAGCTCAAAGACCTGCTGCAGGAGGGCATGAACGGTCTGACCCGGGCCGCCGAGAAGTTCGACCCCGACCGCGGCTTCAAGTTCTCCACCTACGCGACCTGGTGGATCAAACAGTCCGTCATGCGGGCTGTGGCCGATCAATCCCGGGTCGTGCGCCTCCCCGTGCACGTACACGACCTCCTGAACCAGATCGGGAGGGCGGAGCGGGAATTGTCCTCGCAGCTGGGTCGGCAGCCGACGGAGGCAGAGATCGCAGCCAGGGTGGACATTCCGCAGCGGAAATTACAATTTTTGCGCGAACGCACCCAGCACACTCTTTCCATGGACGCCACCCGGCCTTCGGCGGGCGGAAGTCGGGTTCGTGGAGTCGGCGACGAGGTACGTGTCTCGGACAGCATCTCGGACGCGGAGCCCCTCGCAGGACGTGAAGGCGG